TGCTTCTAAGAAAGATTCACAAAAATAAAATGACAATATTATTATTTATAAATTATGCATTTTTTCTTAAAAAAAACCACACTAATATATTTATTTTTTGCTATTTATTATATTCTGACATTCTGATAAATAAGATTAATGCTTCGATGCATTCAAATTGATAAAAATATCGTGGATAAGAAGAAAAATAAAAGAAATGGACCTCGGCATGAAAGAAGGCACGCGATATCAAACGTGAGGATTCCGCGTGAAGGACAGGAAGAGATAATGAAGATGACGCGGTCATGGATAGACAAAAGCAAAAGGTAGCCGGCACATCCGGTCGCTCGGAACGACGGCTTAGGGTCCGAGAGGATAACGGCCTAAGGCCACCGGTAAAGGCCGCGAACAACGATCTTCGTCGTTTGTCGAGTTTTTGTTGACGCAGTTCGCAGAAGTCGCTGCATCGTACTGTACCATCAGCAATGCTGCATTGTATCGCAATAAAAATATTGCACAAGATCGCTTTCCTACAAGTAGAAAATTATTTGCCCAATTCTTTTTACAAAAATATTAAATTCCATTAAAAATATAGCATTAAAAAGCTAATGACAATAACAACATTCTTCATAAGTAGATATTATTTCAATGGAGTGTGGAGGAGTAGTATGGAGTTTTTTAATCTGAGATTTTAGTTGCAAAGATAAATATATATATATATATATTTATTTTATTTCTTGACCCAGTAAATTGGACTTTCCTGCTTTTTTAACTCTCTCACGCATGTAAAAATATATAATATTAAATCTCAAAAAATTGTACGTGACATGCATAAAATGAAAAATCCCTTCCATATTTTTGATTAAGAAAAAATCGATTTGGAATGAGAAAAAATATTCATGAACTGTAAGATCTCTTGCATTTCCATGACTTCAGTCTCTTCTGAAACTCGTCGTGCTTTTTGAATGACTAATCCAGGAACAGTTTGTTCTCCCTGGGGTCGCTCAATAATACTACCTAACTGAAGAAAGGCATTCGCGTTCAATAAAGTAAGTGGAAGGTTATAGAAAATGGTGGGAGCACGAGGAAGGGACTATTATACATGCGAGGGAGCAGAGAGGAACTCGAGGACCAGGTAAAGGCCCTTGTTCTTCATTGTGTCCCGGTAGAGCTGATAGATAGCTTTTCTAGCATATGCACGTCTGTGTAGATATGGTTACCATTAGAGTAACCCTTTTCATACAGGTTGAAACAAAGCCCTTTTTACATCCGGTAGATACGTCGTACGACAAACTGACTCAGTTTTCACTCACTTCAAGTTCGTTAAATAACAAAAGCGTAATAGTGTAATAATTTATAATATTTCATTTAATTTTTTATTTTTTGTACTACTTTTGTATTATTTCTTGTATTATTTTGTACTATTCTATTGTTATTATTGTCAAAGATGTTTTCTATCCGCGCTTTTTTAATAGAAAAGAATTAAATCTTGCAAATTTTAATTGTAAAATTTATACACATTTATTGACATCTGTTGTAAATCTGACGATAATGAATCTAATTTTTGTATTACTGTCACGAGTCATCGAATGAAACAGTCTCGCTTTTACGGAATCAGAACTTATCACTCGATATTTATGGAAAAAAATAGGACGCACGTTTGGTAGGAAAGAACGAAGTCCCTCTGCTACGTGGCTCTTATCTTCCTTTATCTGTTGGTCTTTTGGTATCAATGCCCGACATTGTTCAAGGGAAATTTAATCAATGGAGGTCTGTCCTCATTATGGAATTGCGCGTGCCAGAAGCGGAATAAGAAGAGATATTGTCTTTTTCCTTTTTTTTTCTTGTATCTCTTCTAAAAAGAAACCGGAACGTCATGAGTCCAACCGAAACCATCTTCTTTAGTTTCGATCGAAACCGAAAACAAACATTTGATTACGTGTCAATTTCAATCAAAATTGAAACCGAAAACCGAAAACCGAAATTTTCATAGAAATTCTAGAAAGAAATATATATAGGCACACGCACAAAAATATATATTTCTTCTTTATAAACATTATAATTTAATTATTTATTGTAATAATTACACATACATTACCACAATCTGTAATATGACAAATTTATTATCTTACTAATAAAATTTCAAAACATAAAATAAAAATATTTTTTTAAATCTTTGGAAAAATAATAGATTAAACATTTCATATTAATAAATGTTTTGTACTATAGGATTAGGATCAGTAATCTTAAAACTTGCGAGTACAACTTGATCAGTTTCGGCAACGACACCGAAACTCCTTTTCAATTTCGAAACCGAAACCGAAATCTCAATTTGTGAATTGAAACTAGTCTAACTCAAAACCGAAGCCGAAATTTCGGTCGGGCTTTAGTCGTGAATGATTTTTGAAGATTCAGATTTAAGCAGTTTTACTGCTTAAGTTTTTTTGTGTGCTATGGCCCTAAGATTCGATCTAACGATCGAATAGATGATTTGGAAATAGATCCAAGTTTCAGACAAACTACTATGTTAGTGGTAGAACGGAAACTATTATTCAAATTGCCTGACTGGGTATGCGATTGTTCGAATTATTAATTCTCGAGAAGCTCAAGACAAATTCGAGAACAGTTGAATAAAGATTCTCGAGAAGCTCAAGACAAATTCAAGAATAGTTGAATAAAGATTCGAGAAAAGCGGATATTTTTCACGGAAAAATCAACTTTCGTTTGTTCTTTTTCGTAATCCATCAGCTAATTTATTTTATTTTTTTATTTTATTTTATTATTTTATTTTAATTCAAGTTTGAATTGCTGCTGATGTTAACTTTGCGAAAAAATATTTTATATTCACTCATCTAATTTTTAATGGCGTTACTTTTCGCATTAAACGGAATAAAACGTGAAAAATGAATGGGAAGGGTTAATTCGGAATTGTCCCCATGCGGCACGTGCTCATAGCCATTGAGCCCCCCATTACCTCCCCTCTACTCCGCAATCGAGACGAGAGGTCAACGGTTTAACTTCGTTCGCACAATTGGTGCGGATTAACGTCGTAATAAATCTTAATTAGGGTCGCTCCTACGCTGCACACTCGACCGTCCCGGGGGAGATCTCGCAGATTTTCCCTCCGGCTGCTGGTTCATCGAGGACTTCGAACGCCGCGGGAGTGTTTATTGAGAAGTAATCACCATGCGAAACGCGTACGACGCATTTGCATACGGTTATTTATGCGTTTACGTAAGTCAAATTATCTTTCCATACATAAATCTCAATCTCTTCTATTATAGTAAATATTACATCTGTAAGCTTTATATATTTTTTCATATACATCACAATAAAATTTTCGTTATAAATATATATACACACACATATATATAAAATAAAATATTATACAATTAAAATTAAAAATTATTAATTATTATATATAATTTTTTATTTTATACTATTATTTAGCTATTTCGAAATGATGGCTGCGTTCAGTAAGAAAAGCAACTATTGTAATAAGATTTTTTAATACAATTGGTTTTTGCCCCTAGTTACCCTCACTGGATCTAAATGTATAAACCATCATATTGAAGAATCTTACAATAGTTGCAAAGCAGCTTTTCTTGCTGAACGGAACCAATTCAATAGCGCTGGTCATCAAGGCGCCAGTGAGCACCAGGACGCCATTGAAGAGTTAAATACCGGTCACGGATGACCACCATGGCAGTCATTCAAAGAATTAACTGAAGTCTAATTCAAACGATTTTGCAAATTGTGTTGCGGAAATAAATTTAAATACAAAGAAAAAGTGTGAAGTTTGACGTTTCATTTCGCGAAACTCACAAATTTTTTTAAAGAGTTTTGGCTTCCTTTTTAAAAATCCATTTTAAAATTCCTGACAGGCTAAACAAATAGTTCCGCTCATTGAAGCAAAAAAATCAGTTTAGACAAAGTGAGACGTCAGGTTCACGCTGCGTCTCACTTTGTCCTAAAACGATGTCCGTCAACGCAAGATTTTGAAAGATTTACTCTATGAGAGTTTATAAAGAGTTCTGCCACATGAAAGTAAACAAAATTTAAACATAAATCAAGATTAATTATCAATATAATAGACAGAGCTGAAACGTAGACCAATAACTCTGAGTTCTGATTTAACAAATTACCTGTCATGTAATTCTTAAATATATTAAAACATTTTCTAAAGAATGCATTAATATAAGCCGAGTGCATGATAATTAAAAAAACTGAAAGATAACAGCCAATTCCTCGGAAGCAGGATCTCAAATATTAAATATATATATGAAATAAATAATTATATCACCAATCACGTGCTATTATTTTTAGCAGATTAACAACGCAATGACTCTACAATAATTTGATAATCAAATATTTTTGATATCGATTAAAAATCTCTTTTATTATTCCCCCACCAGGAATTATATATTGCGAAAAATATCATCTCAGCCAGAGGTCGAATCTGGATCGTCCGCTTTCTTATCCACGCTTGGACGTAATAATTATTTATTTAAAAATCGTGCATCATCGCCAGTGCGAAATTTTTTTAGAAAATGCTTTAATATGTTCAGAACTATACGAAAAGTATATTTGTTAAATCAGAACTCCGTGATTTCGATCGGCGTCTCATTGCTTTAAATCCAAATACGCTCGGACAATGTTCATTTATTTAAAAATCGTACGTCATCCTCAGTGCCCCGAACTCTTTAGAAAATTTGAGTCAATCAAAATATTTGATTGTTATCTTTCAGTTGTTTACTAATATGTACTCGGCTTACATCACACATTGTTTATTTTCACGTCAGCTTGAAAAAGGCGGTCTTTTTATTATTTACCTAAATATTACCCTAGTCACCGTGGCTTCATATCTTTCTGCCTAAGTACGTTTAAAATATTCTCGCATGCTGTTGAGGCATAAAAAAAGATACAAGTCGTCCCGCGTTCTCCAGAGACACGGAGAGAGCCGCGGCACGAGATTCGCCGAATTCGTGGAGCGCGATGGATCGAGGCGATCAACGGCTTACCGGTGGCGCAGATACCGCCGATGATCCAGACGAGGCAGACACCGGCGAGAAGGCCGCGCGTCCTCGCGGAGGCCACCGCCGGCCGCTGCTCCATCCTCTCGTCTCGCCGTTGCGCGACGTTGACCTCACTCCTTTCGTCCCCTCTTCCTCCTCCTCCCCCTCCTTCTCCCCTTCGTCTTCTTCTTCTTCTCCACTTCGTCGCCCCTGTTCCTCCGCTCGTAGCCGCCGCGCGTAAGAGGCTCCGGAAGAGCGCCGACTTACACCAATCCACGCCGCATCCTCGTCTCACTCACGCTCGCGACTCGCATTCCGCGATGCT